ATAACAACAAAAATAACAACAACTATCACAACAACAACAACAACAACAACAACAACAACAACAACAATAACAACTACTACCACTACCACAACAACCACAACAACTTCAAATTTTCACACATTGTTAATTTAAATGATTAATGAAAATTATTATTCTAACAAACAAATTAATTTTAGGAATAACAACAACAGCGACAACAACGACAAAAATAACAACAAAAACAGAATTCATTTTCTTAAAATAAATTTATTTTCAAATAAATATAAATTTAAATTTAACAAATAAATTTTTTTAAAACTATTTTATTTTTTTTTAAAGCTATTTGAAGTTAATACTATTTTAAGCTAAAATAAATAATAAATTCTCTTATCAGATATAAAATTTATTGCAAATAATATCTCATTTCCGGTTGTTCCGGTTGTTCCGGTAATTTAATGTGTTGTGAGAAATGAATGGAATATCAAATAACTAAAATTTTTTTCCATTTCCTTTGAAGAGTAAAAGGGTGTCAAAAAAAAAGGTGAATCGGATATTGGGACGATGATAGGATAGGAATGAATCAGATAGGAATGAATAATGAAAATGATTGTATTTTCGTTTCTATTTTTTCAATTTGAAAAAGTGATAAACTTTTGTTACAAACGATTTTAATCCTTTCCTCTCTTACTCACCGCTTCCCGTTATCCCGCCCACCGCGATTCCATTAACGTTTTGGTTTATTTCTTAAAGAAATTTAGCGAAAAAAAAAAAGAAAATCTCTAATTGAAATATCCGCGAAAGGAAGGTAATGTTGAAAGATAGAATATCGATTTTGATATGCAAAATGTATTTATGTAAAAATAACAAAACTTTACAATTTGTTCATTAATTATTTTAATTATGCAAAGAACAAAAAGAATTATGCAAATATTTTAAATTTTGAAATAGAGAAAAAGCATTGCAATATTTGTTCAATAAATTTTATCTTTATTTTTTGTTCAAACTTCTAATAATTTCATATGTATGATTTGAAAGGAAAATTTTGAATTTATATTTGTTATTTTTAACATTGCTATTTATCATCATCTTTTATTATTAATATTGATATTATTATTATTGTTATTATTATGAATATCATTGCTATTATTATTACTATTATTATGGATATCATTATTATTATAATTATTGTTACTGTTATTATCATTATCATTGTTATTATTATTATTACTATTATTACGAACAATATTATTATTATTATTATTGTTATTGTTATCATCATCATTATTATTATCATTATTACTATTACTATGAATATCATTATCATTGTTATTGTTATTATCATTACCATTATTATTACTATTATTATTTCATGTTACATGCGTACCCTATTTATTATTTATAATAATTGACAGTAAACGACTATTTATGACATCAACAATATTTTATAATGAAAGATTTTAAATGTTTACGAATTATTTGGCTAATTTTATCCGATCAATTGAATTGAAATTTCGCAATTTTATCGTCTAAATCTCGCGCCTATCAAATTTCGAGCCTTAATTAATTAATATAATTAAGGACAAGTGGATGGTTGTTTCTTTAGTTTTACCAATTTTCACTTAATTCATTTTCCTTTTATTTTCTATTTCATTAATTTTTTAATTTAATTTAATAATTCATTTCAATATATTAATGAAACAAAGAATAATATGAAAAACCATTGTTTTATTCAATTTATACGACAAACTAAGTTAGATTCTTCATGGCAATAGTAATTTTGAAATAAATTTTTGATAAAATGAAAATTTTTGATATTTACCAAATTTCATTCTTTTATGATACGACGAAATGCAATCATTTACGGATTATCCGATATAGCTCTTCCCAAATACTATTAAAAAAGAATAATTATACAGCATTACAGCTAATTCTTTAACATATGAAATTGGAAATGAAATAATAAAATGACAATAATGATTAGAAATAAAAGCCATAATTAATTATACAAGTACTTAAGGTAATCAATCATTTAAATTACCATTAATCAAACAAATTAATTAATCTATTTAATTATTGCAATTTTGTAATTAATTATATTTAATTAATTAATCCAACAAATATTTGTACTTTTTGTAAACATAGTTGTAAACATAATTAATAAACAAAAGCTGTAAATAAATCGAAAAATTTGATAAATAAATAAAAAGAAATCTCTTTTTAATTTATTTATTTTAAATAATAATCATATTTGAATTATATCCTAATTATTATGCAATATAAGAGATGAAACAAAGAAAAAGAGAAAAAGAACTTCCTTCCTTTTTTTTAAAATATTCAATTGGCCATAAAGACAAATAATTGCAATACTAAATCATCCAAGGCTAAATCATTCCCTTTCCTTGGCCATAATGCACTAAATGCAATATTAAGCCAAATTGAAATGAATCATAAATGCATTTATGATTCATTTCAATTTGGCTTATATGAATGAAGAGAAAAAAAGGAAATTATTGAACTGAAAAGTTGAAATTATCAATTCATTGTGTGCTATAAGGGTTGATGATCACGACGAATGACAATGAATGAATGATTATGACTCATTCATCTATTCATACTTTCCTACAAATCACTCTTTGTTTCTTTTCTTGTAAATTTATCAATGAAAAATTTACACTCACTCCTTTTTTCTTTCCTTTTTCCCTCTTCTTTTTTATATTTCATCATTTACTCATTTATTGCTTTATTTGCTGACCTTTTCATTTATTTATTTAACTCTTTTCATTTTTCCTCTCTCTCTCTCTCTCTCTCCTCTTATTGGTATGAACAATAATAGAAATATATATATCTATATGTACATAACATTTCAATATCATATATAAGTTGTAAAGAGAGAAAGAGAAAAAAGTGATAGTTAAAGGATTGTTATTAATCATTGTTTACTTCCACGCATATAAAATTCATACAAAATATTTTTGTTATTAATGTTACGTATAACTTCTCATCAATAGTACTATTTCAAAAACATTAATAGTAATAAGAGAAATTGTAATGGTAATAATAGTGATAATATAAATCATTGTGGTGGAACGGAAAGTTTTCAAAGAAATAACTGTATCAAATAAATGATAAAGGAAATGGAGGTGTGAGAATGTAAGAACAGTGAGAAATCCTGAATAGGAAGATCGGTACTTCGACTATTTATTATCGCAGAAAAGTACCATTAACGGATCAAAGCAATAAGAAACAAAGATATGATTTATTATACCTTGTGAGATGAAATAAACCTAACTAGTCTAAACGAGAGCAAATTGTATTAATCTTTGATTGCTTCGGAAATATCTATTATTATCCGGTAGTAATCTAATCGAATGATGACAAAGATATGATCAAACCTTGCTACAATTATCATTGCTACTGATCCTTTTCATTCGTGTTACCCGTAATTTTAATTTTGACAGTTAATTGAGGTGATCAAATGATACTGAAGCAGGAAAAAAAGTAATAATACAACATGGAACAGTAATGAAACCAGAATAAATAGTAATTATGGTATCATAAAAAAAGTATTAATAAAATATCAGTGAAAACGGATAATGACACAAAGGTAGCAAAAGTATGCAAACAAGATAATATATTTCAAAATCTGGAAACAAGAACAAAGAAAACGAAAATGAATTAAATTCAATTATTTGTTTTGATTTTAACTTGCTGGAATTTGCAACTTTGTCATTACTTCTGTTTGAAAAAAATGGATATGATACATTCAGGAAAAGAAAAACCGTAACTTTTTTTTTAGGGGGGGGGGGAGGTAAAGTAATGGTGTAAACGGATATAAAGGAATAAGAGGTAGTGAGCATTTTTGACTCGATATTTATTTACTGTCTGCTTGGAAACTTCGAACTTCACCGAAAATGATTAAATAAACGGTTGAAAAGAAAAATTTGTGAGACGTGATTGTTGACAAAGATTGAGTGGTGTTTGCGCTACGTTGAACGATGATAGTTGATTGATGTATTTTGCATTGGATATACAGTTCATCACAGACCACTCTAATTGCTAACCAACCGATTATCCATCGACCAGTTTCCAATTTTACTAGAATAAAAAGATATTAGAAAATTTTGAAAAAAGAAAGGAAAAAATGATAATAATATATCAATGAAAATTATAATAATGAGAAAAAGAAAAAAAATGATAATGAAAGTGATAAAATGATATTAATATGCACTGGCAATGTTCATATAGTGACAATAGTTATCATGATAATTGTAATAAGGATAACCATGATGTGATAAGAGTAGTAAAAAATGTGTTAAGTGATCATAATAATTATAACTATCCAATAATCATGGCAATGGTTACAACGACAATGATAATGGTAATGTGAATTATCATCATCACTAACATTATGGAAGTACTAAAGATAATGACACTATGATATTATTTATAATAGTAATGAAATATACGATAAAAACTTAATAATAAATAACTACTGTATGATGTATAACTCCAATTAGTAATAGACTGAGAGCAAAATTCTAACAAAATGTTCCTCAATGGAATGAAATAGTCTGCCAAACAGTATTCTTTGAAAAATCATAAATACAAATATATAAATATTTGGATGAAAGAATATTTAATGCCAGCTTGATGCCACAAAGTTTTCCTATTTGTATTACTGAACAGTTAAGTCAATTAAAATGAAAAATGATGAATACGTAAAAGATCATACATTTTCAAAAGAAACGAAATTTAACCTGAGAGTAACGAATATTTTCAAATAAAAATAATTATAATCAGTAAAATTAACAATAAAAAACAATTCGTATTTAATAATAATTAATAACAAATAATTAATAATAATAGTAGTAGCAATAACAAACAATTACCTCGTATTACATTGATTGATATTCATGTGAAATGAAATTTGCATATTTCAAGACGATATAAATGTGCAGCATATACTTCTTATTTTCCCGAAAAAAAAGAAGCAGCAGTTGAATATTTATTTTTTTATTGGCATGGAAACGGCGGAAGATGTGGTTGATGAATTGCTAAATATGGTGGAAGCTTCATCGATGAATCCAATGGAAGAATTCCTTCATGATTTAGTACAAGTATCATCCAACGATATGGTAGAAGAATCGCTCGAAAATTTGTTAGAAATATCATCCAGAAAGAATAACATAAATGAGATTTTAGACGATTTGATAAATGCAGCATGTAAGGATGAAGTGGAAGAATTGTTAGACAATATGGCGAAAATTTCATCCAATGATAGAGCAGAAGAAGAGAATTTGACTAATGTGTCCATCAAAAATACAATGAACCAACTATTGGAAGCTTTGATGGAAGCATCATCCAGGAATACAGTGAATCAACAACTACTGAAAGATTTAGTAAACGTGACAGCCAATGATTCAATAGAAAAAATATTAAAAGAAATGTCTAAAATATCATCATCCAAAGATTCCACCGAAATATCATTCAAGAATTCAATGGAAGAATTTACGGCAAATTTGATGAAGGGAGAATCATCTAAAGCACCTGACGAACTGATTTCAGGCGATTCTTATCCAACCGTTAAGTTCCACTTTCCATCAAAGAATTTTTATGATAGAGATGCGACAAACTTTATGCGGTCCGTTATGAATAGATGCTGTATTGAAGATTGAATTTAAGTATTTTTTTGTGGTTGTCGGTGCTAGCTGTCGTTGTTATTTTCTTTTTCTATGTGCTGTCATTTTCTTTTTTTCAACTCTTTCTCATTAGTTTAACTTTTAATGGCAAGAAGTTTTTTTGTTTTTCCATAAGATCAAATAATCATTGAGATTTGTAAATCTCTGTTCCATATATTTCTAAAAGTTCGTTTGGTTCCACAAGTTCTGCAGGTTTCTATAATACCATCAATTCTTCCAAATTCTTTACTTCCTGAAGCTCAACAGATTCTTTAAATTTATGGGTAGATTAAATTTTAGTTTCGTAATGACTCATTTTATTCTCAACGAGGAGATCCTTCCAATTTTTGAAATAGACCAATATTTTATACTTCTTCTGCTACATTTGGATTTCTATCATACTTCTTTCTTCATCCCACGCTTTCCGATGGATTTCATGAAATAAGATTGCATTATAGGATTTCGTTTGATAGTCGCATTTTCCTACCCATTGTCAGACGGTAGAAAGAGTAATGATGTAAAAAGTTTCGAAATGATTTCTGGAAATTGCATCTTATGAAGTAAAAAAATTCAATGTGAATGCGTAATAGGTAAAAAAGTTATTGCAGGAGGAGTACGTGAAATTATCTCCGCAACATTTTTAAAAGAAAACTTGTAGCACATTGTGAAACGGGATTATTTCGGAAGGTTTTTGAGCTATATGAAATGAATTTACAGTAATTGATTACTTTCAGGAAAAAGTTTATTCAATGTGTGCTGCCGTGGAGAAAAGTGTTATTTATCGAAGGAATGATCCAGGGACAACTAGAGAAGAATGGTGTAATTGGCCAGATATGTCATTCGAAGAGGTTTGTGCAGTATATTTCTTTGAATTTTAAAGTAATTATTAGTGTTGAATTTAGAGATATATATATTTATATTGATATGATAGTATAGTCCAATTAAAATTTAAATCAGTTATTTATAACATATAGGGTTTTTTTGAAATCAGGAGGAAATATTGTATTTCTGGAAGAATTAAATAAGAAACGAAGTAGTGCTAAACATCAAAGTAATTTGTTTTCTTAGTAGATGCTGTTAGATTTTTTTGTTTTTAATTTTTATGTGAGAAGTAGATTAAAATTAGACTTAGTTATATTAGATATTTTTGTAAGAATTGATAAATGGCAACTTGAAAGATTACTCAGCATACATAATTATATTTACATAGCTGTGAAGATTACTAATTCATATTTCGATCCATTCATTTGAACTTCGTCCAGTGACATTTACGTGTTCGTCGGTAACCATGATCTTATTGAGTAAGCAAGGTAATTCAAGCTTAACTTTGATGATAACAATAATTATCAAATTTAAGTCAGATATACCTTTTAAGATGGATAATACACTGAATGTGCAACAGTACATACAGCAATGTATTCATAAAGATCCCTCAGATGTGGATACCATTCTAAAAGCTCCACCAGGCCAGGAAGAGGGAGTATGGAAATATGAACATGTGAGACAGTTTTGCATGCAGCTCAATGGCTTAACATTACTCCTGCAGGTAAATTCATTGAATTGTTGTGGAGGGAAATGATCCATTTGAAGTGATGTGATAGAAATTAACACTATTGACTTATGTTTTGACGAACTGTCATGATTGTGTTCGACGTCGGTAAAATTCTCTGAAATTCAGGAAATTGTGCTGAAATCTCGGATGGTTTAGACAGTATGTAATTTAGAATCAAAAGTTTTTGGAATTTAGTTTAATAAAAAAGCTATTGTTAAATCAATTTCCTTATAATTATTGCGATTCATTTTTTCGTTGAAATAACTGAATTATAGACTTGAATTGAAACATTTGAAATTTTCATATTTTCAAGGATGAGTGTAAACCTGATGTTTGCGTGCAGATGACTGCCACAGAACAATGGATATTTCTTTGTGCGGCTCACAAGAATCCAAAAGAGGTATCGATTTTTGTCAGTTAATTGCTCTTTTTGTAAAATTAGCATTCGAACGGTGGTTTAAACTAGAATTTTTTGTGTGCTGTATATATTATCATTAAAGCTACTTTATTCAAAATTTCTGTTTGTTTTTTGCAATATTCGATCACCAGAATATATTTAATATTTATAGTTTATTTGTGGCAGCGGTTTTTTCATCTTGGTAATTTTTCGTTGTTATTATTACCTTTTGTTGTAGTGTTCGGCAATTGATTATACGCGACATACTTTAGACGGTGCAGCGGCATTATTGAATAGTAACAAATACTTTCCCAGTCGCGTTTCAATTAAAGAGTCATCGATTGCAAAAATTGGTTCAGTATGCCGACGAATTTATCGGATTTTCTCACATGCTTACTTTCATCATCCTGAACTCTTCGAAAAATTTGAAGTGATGCTTTTTTTAAATCAAAAATTTAACCAATAGATAAGTTATGAGATAGTTTCGAATTAAATATAGACTGATAGATGGTTTATTTTTTAATCTTATTCGAATATTAGTAATTTATGTAAGATTTTTCATATTCTATCTTTTCATAAAATTTTTTACATTTTATTGACATATACTAACTTTTAGACAGAAACGCATCTTTGCCGTCGATTTACGGTATTCGTGAGAAAATATAACTTAATGGCAAATGAGCATTTGATTGTACCAATATTGGAACAAAAACCAAATCATCCGTAAATATGGAAGTGTATTTTCTTTTGAAATAAAGTATAAAAAGTAGACTATAGCTTGTTACCTTTTCTTGTTGATGTCATTTGTTCATCTCTGTATCTCAATTTTTTAATTTTGATATTTGTTTATTTCCTGATTGTAACTTGAAACTTCTATGATTACTTTGTAATCTAAAAAGGAAATAATTAATATCAAAATTGTGTGCTTTCACTAAATTTCTGATATCATTCATTACCTGAGATATGTATTTAGTATAGTTCGAATTGAGGAAGATAGGACATAATTCTTCTGCGCTTGTTTTAGGTAGATTCTCTTACAAGATTCTGTTTGAATCATTAAATGTTTTAATTTGTCTTTTCTCACACTTCATAAAATTGTTAATGCTTATTTATCGTTATCAAGTCAACGTCAGCTGTATACTCATATTATTTCTCAAAACACTGCTGAAGTGTCAGAATGTCGCAGATTCAAGTTTTGAGCCGTTTTCCATATCTTTTTTTATGATTCTTGTTATTTTATTCTAGAATATTTCTGTTAAGAAGTAAAACAATTCATTCTATATAAAGGCTCGGATCTCTGAAAAGAAATCATCTAGTGCTGCAAATTATAGGAAATTCTGCATTCTCATTTTTATATTTTTTAATAGATGATCTTTACTGCAATAAAATAGATTCGAAATTTGGTGTCTTTTCAAGGACAGAATTTCATTACACATTGATCCGTATCAAAGGAGCTAAATCATCGAATAACTCATTTGGATGACATTCGTGCCACCTTATCAAACAGGCGTTTCTGTCGAAGTTATCAGGTGGTGGTAGAAATAGCTGAGAGAAAGGAAATATTTTTAAAAATTCTGATGTGTTTTCGTTTGAGAAATTTTTAGATAATCATGAGTACTAACGGTCCGGAATATGATGAAGAAACAGGACTTAATCTATTCTTGAGACTTGGGGCGCCTTGGCTCATGCAGAAAACTGGTTGTCCGGATATCGATACTTATCTCAATGGTGGTGTTGCTAAGGGTAAACTTACCGAATTTGTTGGTAACATTGCTTCGGGAAAGACACAGGTAAAAGCGACACATTTCGTAGGTAAAATTATTATATATGGTCTAATGGATTATTTTACTTTAGTATAAAGGTAACTTTTTCCATTGAACTCTTTCAACTTGACTAACAATTGCAGTTATGTCTTTCGCTCATTGCTAATCAATTGGTCAGCGATGAAAAGGAACAAAACAAAATTGTTTATATCGACACAAACGGTAGTTTCAGTAGTAGTCGTTTGCTGCAAATACTAAAATCACGCGGTGTGCAGGTAATTTTCAGCGGGAAAAATTAAAACAATAGCCGAACTATTTAAATATATTTCATGGCGCTTTCTGATTAATATATTACCGGAATTATCTTCCGGAACACTTCTACTATGATATATACAGTAAAACAAATTCACACAATAATTCAAATTTCAGAATGAAAATATAGCAGAAAGGATGCTTAAACGAGTATTTATAGCACGAACTTACGATGAGAAAGATCTTCGAATTGTGCTCTCAGATATTCATGTAATCGAACACTTAATTACCTTATAGCACTTCAAGTATTCAGAAGTGTCAAGTAATAGAATACTTACTCACCTTCCTTCAACAAAACTTTTGAAATAGAAATCCACTGATTGTTGGATGCATCATAAACATATCACAATGTTGGAGAATTGGTCGTCGGTTTAATTACCCAAATTTGAGGTAATTGAGTGTTTCGGCCCAGAGTTTCGGCTGCTGTGGCTTGAAATTAAATTTTGGAACGTCCTACTCTTGAGTGGGACAACAAATACTCCTTTAGGTATTCAGGAGTGTCAAGCGATCGGATACTTCCTTACCTTATAGCACTTCAAGTAATCAGAAGTGTTAAATGCAGTGGATAGTGACTTCTGAATAAGTGAATGCCATATAAATCGATTGGTGAAATTAGCTGGCCATTGAGAGAGTTGTAGTGATGAAGAGACGACTAGAAGAGTGAAGAGATTGTAATAGAGAGTGTGAGTGGTTGAGAAAAATGATACTTTGAAAAGTTTTTGCAATAAGCCACTTGCCGTTAACAGTGGAAGTAAATGAAGAACGGATTTCGATATTGGAAGGTCGAGATCATACTTCACAGAATCATTTCTGTAGTGTGTATTTCTTCGCTATCGGCGAAAATGCGACGGAGCGCAGCCGCGATGATGTGGCATGGCGTCATCTCCAGAGCGGGAAGAAGCGTCTCGTCCATACTGTATTGGTATTGGACGTTGCGTTTGATGACTGCGTGGCGGACTTTGAATGAAGTCTGCCAGAAGGAGTTGACGCGTGCTGAGCGGTCATATCATAAAAGTATCCACTTGTTAACTTCTTTGGGAAGTCAAAGCTGTAAACAAGTGTCAACTTGAAGAGGGCAGCGTTTTGATGAAGTTTTCGGCTAACACCAAAAAAAGCTAAGCAAGTTGTAACGGAATCATCATTGTTTTATACTGAAACGTTAGATGTATTGCGATATGAAAGAGAAAAGATATTGATTGGATATAATAAAACAAGCGGATAAGTTGAACTAAGTTGAACAAAGTTTCATTCTTCATTAAAATTAATGAGAAAAATATTCAATGAATGATTCAATAATTCTTTTGAAGACCATTCAAAATCTAATACTCATTGTAATCGACAGTATTGGTGCAGCACTTGCATTTACAGCTTGGGAATATTCCGAAGGAGGTTGATTTGATTCATTCATTCATTACACTGTTAACTAATGAAACATCATATGAGTCATATTATTATGCAAAAAAATGACATTCTAATATTTATGCTAAATTAATTTCAGTTTTCTTTACATTATACATCAATCTTGAAATCCTAATTTAATGTTTATTAAATTAGAAAATTTTGGAGAAAAAGTTTTCTGAGAGATAATAGATTATGCTTCTTCAATTTTTAATTATATTTCCTAATATTAAATTTAGGTCGAAGAATTCAGGATGAAATTATCACAATGCTTCATTATATAGCACATCATTGTGGTTGTGCTATAGTAACAACAAATCATTTTGTTTACTGGCGTGGTGATCCATCACCATCACTTGGTAAGCGTTGGATCAAAGCTGTTGATTTCAGATATTTATTATGGAAATTATCAGCTTCCAATTATTATATGCAAAGGATTAATCCAAAATGTCACAAGGTTCGTTCATATTTCAAAATTATCATTTTATTATCTTCATTATTATCACCTATTTATAATTATAATTTATTATTATCATTATTACTTATTATTATTCATTATTTGTTATTACTAATTATTACTATTTTTAATTATTATTATCATTTTAAATTATTGTTACTATTATTAATTATTATTATGTTATTATTAATTGTTACATTATTATTAATTATAATTATCAACTATTGCCTTATTACTAATTATTATGTTATTATTAATTATTATTATTGGTTATTATAATTAATTATTGTTTCCCATAAATTCAATATATATATGGCAGGGGATTATATACTTCCATATGATCCATTCATGCTACAATCAAGTTTGCCCACTTACTCTAGTACTCTCTCCTCATTATCATACTATTAATTAGTAATTAATCATCATCTCTTGTTAAATCTTGGGTATTTTCATCCTTTCTACTACTTAAGAAGTATACTATATCTGTTCAATGATAAGATATGCCTGTATTCTACTGACAATCACTCTTATCAATTATTTTAGTTAAATATAAGTTATTGTTGGAAATTTTACCTTTACTTTCATTTTTGTAATTATATCTATATTTTCGATCATAAGAGAGCTATTATTAATAGCAAGTTGAATAAATTAGGCTTATCGCTGAGATGCATTCATTAATTAATCCATTTCACTTTTTGTTTTGTAAAAATAGCAAAATGTTGAATTTGAAATAATATTTTCTTATGAAAAATTTTCACCAACAATTTTTCTGACTTTTATTTATCGCAAAAAAGATTTTTTTAGGTAGTCAACGACAGAGTGTTTTATAAAATTTCGAATAAAGGCATCGATTCAATCACCGATGTTGTACATACGCAAGATATGGAAGCAGTGATTACGCAAAATTGGAATACTATCCACCAAATTTATGCACACAATAATATTCATTAGTCATAATATTTATTCGACAATAATTATGAGATTTCATATTATTCGACAATATCCGACTGCAATATCAGACAAACAATAATCATGAGATATTTTCTAAATGAATAGATATTCTGTTGTTTGCTATTCTGACAAAACCTGATATTGAGTTGTCACATACGTGTATTACATTGTCGTTATATAATGGTTATTTTGTGTGCGGATAACAAAATATATCGGATTAACTCATATGTTTGTTGAATCATACTTCGAACACTTTCGTTTTTTATAGTTTTTGTTATTTTAATTCAAATTTTCGTGATTAAAATTAACTCGCTCATATGTTCCATAAGATTTTATGTAAAGGTTCGGATCTCTGAAGGTGAAATCATCCAATGCTGCAAATTGCAGAAAATTGTACATTCTCACTTTTATATTTTTCAATGAAATGATCTTTACTGCAATAAAATAAATTCGAAATTTGGTGTCTTTTCAAGGACAGGATTTCATTACATATTGATCCGTATCAAAGGGAATAGATCATCAAATAACGCATTTGGATGGCATTCTTACCACTTTATCTAACAGGCGTTTTTGTAGAAGTTCTCAGGTGGTGGTAGAAATAGCTGATAGCTGGAAGGTATTTTTAACTAAAATCTAAAATGAAACCACGTGGTGTGAAATCAATAAAATCACGTGGTGTGCAGGTAATTTATACTGGAATAGAGGGGAGTTCTTGGATTTATTGCGCTGTAAAATTAAATTTTTATTTTTATTGCTGATACCTTTTCCTTGCTTTCAGCGGGAAAAATTGAAACAATAACCGAACTATTTAAATATATTTCATGACGCTTTCTGATTAATATATTACCGGAATTATCTTCCGGAACACTTCTACTATGATATATACAGTAAAACAAATTCACACAATAATTCAAATTTCAGAATGAAAATGTAGCAGAAAGGATGCTTAAACGAGTATTTATAGCACGAACTTACGATGAGAAAGATCTTCGAATTGTGCTCTCAGATATTCAAGTAATCGAACACTTAATTACCTTATAGCACTTCAAGTATTCAGAAGTTCAAGTAATCGATGCTTACTTACCTTCTAGCATTTCAAGTATTCAAAAGTGTCAAGTAATAGAATACTTACTCACCTTCCTTCAACAAAACTTTTGAAATAGAATCCACTGATTATTGGATGCATCATAAACATATCATAATGTTGGAGAGTCAGTCGTCGGTTTAATTACCCAAGTTTGAGGTAATTGAGTGTTTCGGCCCAGAGTTTCGGCTGCTGTGGCTTGAAATTAAATTTTGGAACGTCCTACTCTTGAGTGGGACAACAAATACTCCTTTAGGTATTCAGGAGTGTCAAG